ATTTTCAAATATTCACAATGCAATTTCATAAATGTCTCAAACATAATGAGACAATGGATTTTTCCTCTTTCAACTGTGTAATAATGAACAACTATTAGAAACACTTTATTCTTTCCAGAGTTTGAGGGATCAGTGGCCACAGAGAAAATATGCCCTTTTCAACCAAGTTTTTAATTGTTTTCTCACTTGAAAGAGGAGCTAATTTATTACTGGCAGTGCACAAAGCATTTGTCTCATCAAAATACATCATTTTAACTATGGGTAGATTCTGGACAACAACACTATTTAATTTGCTGTCACAATTAAGTGATTCATACAACTGACTATACTATTAGTATCATACTGATACTCTGACATTCTCTTGCTGCTTCTGCAAGAGCTGTGTTGTTATTTTCTGTGCTTTTTCACGTCTCAGGAAGCGAGTGGTTTAAGTTTCATTCTCAGAAGCTATGCTACAATTATGTTTATGATCCACTCCATTTGCATGCTGTCTTCCATCTGACAGACCACCACAAGGAGCTTCTGCATAAACTCTAGTGAGCTTTATGGCAATTACTGCTGTCTCTACTGATCCATGGAAAGAAATTCCTCAGCCACTCCAGTAATGCACAGCTTCTGCTGTTCGCAGGGTGGATCTGCTGATGGATGATACCATCCACAGGCACTGTCATGGTCATGATCTATGGAGGGCTGTTACTTGACAAATGAAAATTATGTAAACAGTGCTGAGACTCAATCTTGCCTCATGATGACTCTGTCTGCTCCACACTCCCTGGCTGCAGTGTCCAGTACAGCCAGCTGTTACCTCATGATAAATATCTAGGATAAAATTACCATCAGACACCACCAACTTGGTTGTATGATGCAATCCTGACCCTAGATAGCTGCAGCTCTTTTAGCTCTCCTAGGTAGTCTGGAGCTATTCTGGAGATATATTTCACACATTTCAAGAATGTCACTTTCATTTCAGTGGTTGCTGAATTAATTTCTGGGTATTTTTGGATATGCAAAGAAATGTAGGATCTGTAGGTGTTGGAACAGGCTGCCCAGGGATGGAGACTCCACCATTTATTTAAAATCCATGCAGATGAGGCACTTCAGGACACAGTCTAGTGGGCTTTTTTTGTTGTTTGAATTTTTTTTTTAATTTTAGGGCAGGGGGGTTGATGGTTGGACACAGGGATCTTAGAGGTCTTTGCTAACCATGACAATTCTGAAATCCTGTAAAGGTATTGAATATATGAAAACTACTGCTGTTCAAGATCAAAAACCCAAGAAAGCATTTTCAGCAACATCCTTCAGTGGTGTGACCTGCCTCACTTTTGCCATAAGAGATGTCACAATACATAATGATACAATAAGAGCTATGTGGACAACTTAAGAACAAAGCAAACCCCTTAGACTTGTCTCTTAGAATAAGAAATGATACTACTCATTCTCCTAGGGTGCACAGAAAAGGGACCAGGGCACAGAAAAGCCAGAACCTCCTCACCTTCCTTCAAAATATGAGCACATAAATTGAGAGCCTCAGAGCTTTAATTCTGAGAATGCTGTTCACCTAATCCTGGACATGTCTGAACTCCTGAGCTGCTCACACTTGAACCTCAGGCTTCCCTGGAAACCAGATGTTACATTTCAGTCCTTGTGTAGAAGCAACTGGGCTGTTGGGCTTTGGTCATATTTGGCAGGCCCATACCTATGTCAGGTCTAGAAAGCAGGAGATAAAACAGCCAACTGCAGCTGCAGCAGGCTTCACTCCTGACTGCAAATAGCCAGGTCCAAAGATGTGTTTCCACTTTGCACCAAGTAGTGACAAACCCTCCTTCCACTGACTGCAGAAAGAGCCAACCAGGGAGACCTGACTTCTGGGGCTAAAGCCGGCCTTTGAGAACAGTCCCAGATGTGCTTCTCTATCATCTTCACAAGGGCCCCAATTCAGTAGTATTCTCCTCTGCCAGACTCTATTTAAATGCATGGGAACTGCTTGACAGCACCAGGAGGTGTATTTGTGCCATCCCTCTTACCCTTAGACACAACAGCCCCATGAAGAGAAGGCTCACCCACATCCCCTGGCTGTGCAGTGGCAGCCATAAGGGGAAGAGGAACACTCTGGTATTGTCTGGCCAGAGGAGTGTACTTAAAGGCAGATCTGCTTCACGTACCTGATTTATAACAAGGGTCAGAATAATTCCCAAACAGCTCCTGCACTGGGGAGCAAACTAATTCCTTTCGTCTCTCCTTGGCTGCGCAGCCCAGGGCCCAGCTGCACCTCAGGTTCCAGCTCACAGTCTATATTCTGCATCATAAAAGATACAAGAGAGAAATCTAAACCAGAGAAGTAATAACCTGTAAACTAATAAACCAACCCAGCACTTTGATAGCTAGGCACTCCCAAGAGCAGGGATTATTAATGGATGTCCTGAAACACCGAGTGTTGAGTTTTCAAGAGAAGTGGGAAACATTTCTGATGCTCTGAGAATCTTACACATTTGCTCTATAAAATCAGTTCAGATAAATGCAAAGATTACTATAAAAAGCAGCTTCCTTCCAGACTACATACACACAGAGGCACTGAAGCAGCTTAAAAAGAAAACTAGTAAGAAACTGCTAAAATAAATAATAATAATAAAGATATAAAACTGCACTATTATGGGTAGTTTTTCTTCACAAAGTATAGGGCTGTCACAGTCATTGATTTTCGCTGGTAACTCAGATAGTGACATGCACGACTTAGGTTTCTGCATCAGTCAGTGAGTGCATGGGAGTGGAAGATGGGATCTGAAATCCTGCAGAACCTCCAGCTGAGGATTTGATGGCTCTGAACTGCTGTCTGTCTCAATTCTTTACTTCCCCTGAACTGTAAAATGGGGTATATTAACAATCAGTTATGTCAAAAGAGAGTTTATGAAGCTAAATGTAATAATGTTTGCAATGTGATTAGGGATCTTTGGCAGAAAAGTGCTATAGATAATGGGAGTTTAAGTACACCTACATGTCCTTCTCAGCCAGAAGATGCTGGGAAGCAGGTGGCAGGCAGACAGACCCCTCGGGAAAGCTCCCATTACCTGCCACAGTGTGTATTCTCCAATCTCCATCCCGTGCCTCAGTCACAGGGACAATAGGGACCTTGTCCTTACCTCATTTTTTTTTAATGTATTTACTTTCAGTGATGAAAGCTCAGTGCTCAGTTACCTCCTGCCATCTGCTTCTCAAGTCTGCTATATCCCACCTCAGCTCTGTGTCAAAATGAGATATTCAATTGATTGCAAGCTGTTAATGATAACTCTTCTGTCCCAAACTAATGCGAAACAGTGAAGCAGAGTGTTTCCATGTAAATCTGAACTGGAGTGGACTCTCTGTCCTCCTGTCATGTAAAATATAAAATGGAGGCTGGCAAGGTTGGCAGAAAGAATCTGGTCCTTTGCATTTCTTGAAGTAAAATTATTTTCTGGAGAAGCAGGAAACTTCTTTATGAGGCAGGAGGCTTTACTGACAAGAGCTGCTATTATCTCTGTCAAACAGGCAAGGCCTGGAGTGATTGTGGTGAGCAAGAAAGAGGAATCTTGGCTTTTCACAGTGCTGGAAAACAGACTATTTGCAGATTGCAAGAAGTACCGAAAAGGTATCAAGCCTCTCTATTTAAATTAGCCACAATAACCTGCTGAATTAAAAGCTTTTTCATGGATCTCTGCTGCTCTCTAACGGTGCCTTAAAGAATTCTCTGAACGAAGCTTACATGTTATTCCCGTAGTCAAGTTTTGTTCAACGTTTTAAAACCAAAACAAACTCAGTTCATGAGGTTCTTAAGCGAGGTTACACGGCTAACTCAGAACTCGAATTACTGTTGCTGCAACCACAGCTGCAACGTTTTGTGTGTGGCGGAAACGACAGTAAAGGAGAGCAAGTGCATAGAAATTAAGGTTTGGAGCTGATTTTAGATGCAATTGCTGAAGTCTAGGAGGTTACAAGCCTCTGAGAAATCCCAATTTTCAGAGCTTCGTGTAACTTGGTACACAAAGTTACTATTCACGAGTACCAATACTTCAAAGACAAACAATTACTGCTGAATTAACTGTACACAATTAACAGGAACTCATGGTGGCACGTATTGCTGCGGGGACACAAACGCTTCTTTTTGCTGCTCTCGTTGAACAAACGTCCCTATCTCCCATCCCAGCAGCTGCCACGGGCCCCCCCAGCCCCAGGCCTCCCTCCTGGAGCAGCCGGGCCACACACGGAGCATTTTGGTGCCAAAACAAACGCACAAACACACGGGACAGCGAGGCCGGGCGGCCCGTGCCAGGGCAAGGCCGCTCCCGTGGCCCAAACCAGCCTTGTTTTGAGGAGAAACCAAACTCCGAGAGCTCAGAGAGCGGCCCAACAACACCCGGGGAGGCGGGGGGAGAGGAGTCACCTCACGCCATGTGCAAAGAGAGGGGGGCAAAAACCCAACAAAAAACAGACCAGAATTACCAGCCTCCCCGCAGCCCCCAGGCCCGAGCCCGCCGGCACC